AGCTGGTCAAGAGGAATTGGCCGTCGTCTTCTGGTGGAACCGACCTTCGAATCTCTTCACCCAACACTTTACTCGAAATGGAGGTAAGCTCAACATTTGTCACAGTACATACGAAAGATTATTTAGCAATTTCATCAGGGTCGCAGGACGGTGAGCCGAGGACTTCTTCGCACAATTCAACAATCTTCCTTACGCGGCAATCCTATTTCGCTTTGCGGTGAGACGACATCACGAATTCCTTTTAACCAAATTTCCCTTTGAAATGAAGAGTCATGCCACAAAATTAAAAGGAATTTGCGAATTTGCCTCACCAGAAACCGAAAGAGGACTACTACCTTGAAGGAGTGAAGACTGTGGTAGTGGGCGAGCAGGCCCTTGACTCATCGTCCTGCTTTCCCGATCAACGTGTGCCAGGTTTGCTTCTATGCATACGATGACTTTCTTTAAATAACATCTATAGCTAGATTTTTTTCTCCTTTTAAATATACATATCTGGTAGGAAAGAGCTGATCAGTCTTGTTGACTGATGATTTTCATCATCAGAGTAAGTAGGTTTTCGAGACTACCAGTAGATCAGATATATGAGTAGTGTTTAAGGTGATTTAGTTCTAGTAGTTGAATTTTCCCACAATCATGTGAGTGTAGCTGATTTTTTTCATTGCATTTCACATAGCATTGCTTTCCCAAAAAGTGTTCTGATCCAGCCTCGGAACTACAGTCCACTCCAGCCAGGATGAGAACTCCTTTTGGAAAGGTAAGGCTCTGTGAAATGCAATGGAAAACATCAGCTCCATTCATATTATTGTGGTAAAATTCAACTTTCAGTCCGTAATCACCTTAAACGAAATAGGATGAAGACAACTCGTATTCAAACTCAACCCGCCTTGGCCCGAAGCTAGAAAGAGTGTTTCCTGAACTGCCTCAACCTGAAGCTCGTAATAAAGCCAAACGACTCGAGCACAACAAAATCATCATCCTCTTTTAGCGTGATTGTCTACACTTCTCTTCATCATGTACTTTCATACGACATGAAAGTCTTCGCAACAGTATAAGCTTTCTCTTTTTCCCTCGCGACAGACATCGTCTGAGCGATAGGCCATAATTTACAAAAAAAACGCTGCAAATAAAACAAGCCAGCTGCAATAGCACTCGTTTCTTATGTCACACTTTGGCGTCCCAATCAGGCATTCCATGATTCGTATGAGGTGTGTTCACCCCATATCGTTGAAGGTGACGAAGGTCTGGCAGTTTAATTTTCCCACAATGATATGAGTAGAGCTTGCCCAACAGGTCTCATCCCAGCTGGACTGGACTTCACTTTCGACCTCGCCTCGTCTTATCAATAACCCCAGCGGGAGTCGGACCATGACAATACGTTAACCACCTCCTCCACATCAATTCGAGGGCCCTTGGTGCATAGGGCAGGCCCTTTGCCATATCACATTCTTTGGTGAGATTGTCGACGAACCAAGCGTATTTTTCTACAACCATTTACTGCATTACTTATTTTTCGTTTTTACGTAAAGTTTAGAGACCACCAGTAAATCAGTAATATGAGATGTATTCACCCAACTTCGTTTAAGGTGACGAATGTCTAGCAGTCTAATTTTCCCACCCAATTGTGCTCGTGGCATGTGGCCGAGTGGTTAACGTGTCAAGTTCACATGCTGCACTGTCACGGTTCGACTCCCGCTGGGGATGTTGATAAGACCGATGCGAGTTCGAAACTGCAGTCCACTTTGGTGAAAGCATGGTTATGTGAAATTCAATGGAAATGTCAGCTCTACTCCTCCATGACCTTAAACGAAATTGGGTGAATACATCTAATGTTACTTTGATAGTTCTTATTTACGGGTTCTTTTATTTTTAACCTTGTCATGTCCTTGTCTATTTCTTATCTCGTGTTGCATCATCTTCATTAAATTTCTTCCATTTCACTTGGCCAATTTCTTCTCGTCTCAATTTTACTCTATGAGCTAGCTGTAACACTCATTACTTATGTTCGTAAACCTTATGTAAAGGCATAGACTTCATGAAATGTCTCCAAAAGTTGTTCTCGTCCAGGGTGGACTGAAGTTGATAAGACCGATGCGAGGTCGAAACTGCAGTCCACTGGTGCCTGGATGAGGACACCTTTTGGGAAAGCAAGGCTGTGTGAAATTCTTATGTCGATGGAGGAGGGTGAATTATGCATAACAAGTAAATGTGAACATGCTTTTCGCATGACAAACGTAGGCTTAGCTTAGGTTTGTCACAGTCGCAGAACTGCTTCACGCAATACTGCAGTCTTCACTTCAAGACTTTTGTTCTCCGATGAATTCCCTCCAACAATACAGCACCAAGGTATTCTTTAAAAATCTCTTTTTCCTCACATAAAACTCACTTATTTAGCCGAACTGATAGTCTCGAAAGGCACTTCTTCCGAAATTAGGCAGCGTCATTAATTGAAATGCTAAGCACACGTCGCCAGGATACTCTCGATCCGATATCAGATTGTGACTGGTGTGCTGCTGAGGGCCGGTGGGGTGCGATCGAAACTGGCCAGAGTCGCGTCGGTGACGTGTCTTAGCGAAGATGCGCCGGCTCGAATCTACCCTCCAGCGTGGACGAGAGCCGTGTCCGAAGGAGTGTGCCAAAGTGGAGCCTCCTGCCTGAATTCCACATTCTCTTCCATGCGTCGTGAGCACAGCAACTGTCAGTCCAATGGCCGGTCATGCTTCGACAACACCACGTCTCAGTGGACTTGTACTGCTTCTGTCGGGGAGGATGTATCGGGCATCGATCGGTAGCTCGATCAATCGTTGCCCTTTCCCGTCTTCACACGTCTGTCGCCTCCAACATGCACTTGTGTCCCACATTTCGGCCGGTTCCTGTCCCCGTTTTGCGGACGAACCGGCCAGGCACTTGCATGTCGTTGTTGGTCTTCCATTCGGTCCAGTTTTGACGTTGCTTCCTTTCATTTTTTGCACCTCTTTCATCCTACCCCTCGGGGATCGCATTTTTCCGTCTCACGAATGTTTCATTTCACTCCGTTTGGCGCCTAACTCTCATTCTTTTGCGCAAAAGAGGAGGATTTTACGCCATTCGACTGTTGCTTTGTGCCAATCTGTTGTCATCGGCGTCTACCACGAATTCGTGCTGAGCTGCCGTGTGTCATCGTTTCTAGACGTGAGTTTTCGAGACTGCCGGTAAATCAGATATTCGAGATGTAATCTCTCCATTTCGCTCAAGACGATTGAGGACCGGTAGTTGAATGCTCCCACAATGCTATGAGCAGAGCTGACTCTTCGATGTAATTTCGCATAGCCTTGTTTGCCAAAACATGTTTTCATCCAGAATGGACTGAACTTTCATTGTTATTAGCGAATATAACCTTGCTTTATCGGCAATACCAACAAAGAATGTGATATGGGAAAACGCCTGACCTTTGAAATCCACATCTGCCCTCGCAGCCAAGGGCACTCGTCGCTGCACTGTCATGGTTCGAGTCCCGCTGGAGGTGTTGATAATACCTAAGCGGGATCGAGACTGCAGTCCACTCCAGCGGGGATGAGAATACATTTTGGGAAGCAACGATTTGTGGGAACATTCAATTAACAGTCCTTAATCACCCTAAACGAAATAGGCTGATTATATTTCATATGTTTGTCATTTAGCCGTGCCTAGCTTAGCGCTTGGCTAGTTTGATTCTTACGTTTTGACGAAAGTGACGACGGCTCAGCACGGATTCATCGCAATCGCTGGACTCTGTATCGAAGACGTTCTGGCACAAGTCAGCAGCCACAACTCCCTTAATTTGGAAATCCATCCCATCTGTATTATCTTTCTCGTTATCTGCACTTGGATGCCACCTCCATCCTATACTCCGATATTTCGGCTTCACCACACGAACACTCGACCTTGGATCTGTTCTCTTCAAAAAGGTATTTTTCATTAAAAACGTGGTTAAATAACGTTACAGCCCCCTGCAAAAGTAAAATTATGCCTGCACTTTGCTGAAATCAAAACCGAGATCAGCACCGAACGCTCACCAGCTTCCGATCCCTGTATGCGCTGTTAGAGACTATGACAATATTTCCTATCTGATCCCACATGGCCAGTTCCGTCATTGTGGATATATCCTCAAAGTGATTGTCTGCTTTTGCACAGTTGTACATCAAGCTCCCGATCACGACCATGTGAAATCCAGTGGAGGCCTACTCATATGATTGTGGTAGCATTCAAATACCAGTCCTTCATCACCTTAAGCGAAATATGGTGGACTTAGCTTTTGTATCAGATCTACCGGTAATCATGACGACTTACTTATAAACTGAAAATGCCTAATGTCCTACGCTAACGTTCCGTTTTTTCCTGGAAACTTGTGCCTGCTCTGTCACAATTGCGCTATAGTCTTGTGGCCTAAAAGCTAACAGTTCGAATCACTCTCATTGAATCACTCTCATCTTGATTGGAACCACTCTTAGTAACTGTAGAAAGACCTTATCTAGCTGAAATTTAGCATAATAATGGAGTAAGAGGTGTATGAAAAATGATATGGATAGCAAACCGGATGTGTTGCGCAGTTTGTTTTAACTTGGGATCCTGAGTTCTCGGATTTCTCTGCTTACCGCTAAGGATCCTTTTTTATTTGCTTTTCTCTCTGTGCATATTGGCATTATTCTTTTGCTCGAATGCCTTGCTAAATTCCTCGGGATCACATTGACATTACCCGGGTTCATACTCTTCATACTACTTTTGGTGGCTGCTTACTTATGTGGTCTTGTCAACTGTACACATTGTTTATCAAAACT